GAAAGAATATGTCTGCATGCGCGCATGTGCAGCAAAGATGGTATTCAACAGGTTCTGGAAAACCAGTAGCGGAAATTTTTAGCAGTTCGGAGAACCGGTAAATACTACCTCTGACTGGCCCCGCCCCCATCTATTCTCTGCCTCCTGAATCCCAGCTGATCGGGATGAAATGGGGATTTTGCAGTAACCTTCTCCTGGAGTGGGCAGGGAATGGAGATTTTACAGTATCCTTTCCCTGGAGTGGGGTGGGAATGGAGATTTTACAGTATCCTTTCCCTGGAGTGGGGTGGGAATGGAGATTTTACAGTATCCTTTCCCCGTCACGCCACCAAGCCATGCCACACTCACCAAGCCACACCCACAAAATCGATAGTAAAATTTTTTGAATCCCACCACTGATGTTCAGCTCTTGGAACTGAGTCATAAGTAGCTGTTGGGAGTCTGTTGGAAATTTGAATGGTCACTAAGTGGCCAGTCATAAGTTGAGGACCACCTGTATAAATCCCAATTAAAAAAAAAATCTGCAGAGCCATCAATTCCACTGGATCCAATTACTGGAACATTTAATGCTCTGCTGGACTTGTTAACCCACTCTCTAGGGGGAAAGGGGGCATAATATATGGGATAATATCTCCCATATAGGTAGATTATAACTGGAAAAAATCTGATGTATTTAACAGAAATTTGGTTTTATGGTAATCCTCGTTTAGTGATCATAATTGGGACTGACAAGTTGGTCAATAAGCAAAGCAGACATTGTGAAATTGCAACTTCAGCTTTCCTTTGCATTACAGATATGCAAAGGTTGTAAATGCAAGGATGGATCATAAAGTTACCTTTTCTTCATGGTTGTACTGCAAATGGTTGCTACACAAGGCCATCAATAAAAGAGTCACTTGTATAGATGACAGAAACTGAGGTATCTGTTCATCAGAAATTGGGCACTTGCCTATTCCTGCAAATAGCATATCATGTGGATGTCATGTGACTATCATGTGGATATGAGAAGTAACTAAACATGTTATTTGCTATCCAAAAAGTTTCTTTTTGCATCATACTACCTATTAATCTGTTTGATGTAAACATTGAATTTAATAAGTATTATAAATTGTTACTTAAATAGTAATATGATGACTATTAAATATTTCAGTACAATTTATTATTTGGCTTAAAGGATGAAGAATAAAGTCCAGCATACTCACATGTGTTTTTTAAGTGAAATAACTTAATTACACTCACAAGCAAGAACTTAGCCACTTTTGTATAATATTAGGTTCATTCTGGGATGAAATGGTTGCTTCACACTTATTATGCAAAACAATGGTAGGGCAAAAAGTAAGGGTTCTTTTTTAAACTTGAAAACATTTAAGCGGTCTAATTTTTGTTCTCAGACAAATCAAAATTCCTATAGTCTGGAACATCAAATATAAAAAAGCATCAAATTAATCTTTCAAAAGTTCAGGTTTTAAAGGCATTGCATCATTATTTTTGTTAGCTATCTTTCTGATTATAATGCAGATGAGCACCAAATTTAATAAAACTAAAATAACACAAGCTATATATGAAGCATAACAGGATATTGCAAAGAGATTAGGTAGTTTCCTTCAGACTACTTACACAGCTCAAAGAATAAAGAAAGAACGAACAAAAGCAAAGCATAACATAACCCCACATAAATGAAAGGAAACAATGTTGAAAAAAGAATACATCAATTATATATTTTAACTGAAAATATAAAAATATAAATTTTGGCAACAAATCCAGGGAACTCAAAAATATCAATAATGCCTTTATGATAATTTGTGTTCCACTTTTCCCACTCTCTGTTGCTGAGAAGGGAACATACTGTCTAAATTTAAACCAGCTGTAATGATGAATATTACAGTTGGACTGAAGGGGAAGCTTACCTCATGAAAATACATTGTGGAAACTGCTGTTGGAAGATAATAAAAGGATTAAGTGCCATTTTAGTGGACCATTTACTTTTCAATCAAAATGTCTCATGAATTTCCTGTTCTCAAGTAGCCTAAATTCCAAAATTCCTTTGTCTATTACAGTACATAGTAGCAAAGACTGTCATAAGAAATTAATAATTTTACATAGAAAGGAGCTTTTATATATGCAGACAGCAAGCTACTTGCTGTCAGCTTCCCTTGAATCTGTTCAACACATATTTAACCAACAAACAATGTTGATCAGACTGGGAAAATACCCAGTTTCAAATAAAGCTATAATGTTGTTTCAAAAGACACTGGAAACAATTGGGAAGGGGAGCATCTTCCAAGAAAAATCATGAGAGTACATTTAATTTAGATTTTCTAAAAAAACAAGTCTTATTTTTAAATGAAAATTGATATTTGCAAAATGATTATTCTTTAAATTTGAATTGCACAAAAACACGATAAACCATAATTACATTTCAGCCTGTAAATAAACTCCTAACCAACACTAATTTTTCAAGCAGTTTGCTCACTGCTTCCTTAGTTTAAGAATTAAGATTTTAAAAGTATTTTTAATTAAGCTAATATTTAAAGAAAATCCATTTTGATCATCTACAATTGTGGTTTACTTTGGAGCTGCTGGACTGTAAAAAAAAACTTTAATTATTTTAAATATTTAACTTCTCCTTTCCCTTTTAAAACTAAATGTATTTTAATAGTTTACTAGTAATTCTTCTAGTCATTAAAAAAACAGGACACCAAGCATTTATTTTGTAATACTACATAAAAACTCAATTCTGATCAGACAAAATACCCATTCAAATATACTGAATTGACTACACTACTGACAATTGTTTGCTTACACTTGAAGTAGCCTAATATCTAGACCCATAGACTAATACACTATTTATAAGTGTCTACAGTCCAATTTACAATTATAAATTCTTCCAGTATTACCCATTATATGAGGTAACCATAATCACATAAAGATTTGTGTGACATAACTGAATAGACAGGTAACATTAAAAACTGCCACATAATAAGTGCCAAATGTACACATTAGAGGAAAAAATATACAGCATGTTTTCTGTTATTAAATAATTCCATAATTCTGTTCCACCTTTCACCAAAGTTTCATCTGTAATTTTGTTTTTAAATTATACTTTTAAAACAGTGAGGACTGTTTTCATATACCTTTTAAAAGCAACCTCCAGTGTGCCACACACACACACTGTTGAAAAATCGACATATTTCCATAGTTTCATATTTCTAACTTAGAAATACAGCACAATTATCTTATTAAGACATAATGAAACTGAAGATTTGAATATACGTCTGATTCTTCCCCTGTCTGTACACAAACTATTTGTGCTGCTTAGTGTTAGTGACAATTCTTACAATCTTAATGTTTTTCTAAATGCAATAACAACATCTACTGCAGTGGAAAGTTATGTGTACTACTTTATTATGCTTGGATTCTTGTCATGAGTATATAAGACACATAATTTACCAGTATGAGGTCAATGGAAAGATTTAAAGGTTGTTATATACATAAAATAGTTTAGGATGGGATGGATAATAAGCAAAATCCCTGTTGTTTTAATCTTTTGAAAATATAGCATTCAATATATTGGGCATTATATTAGGTAATAAATTATGTAGGAATATTTAGAGTAGAAAAATAGATAAATACTAATATACAAAAAGCACACAGTGTATAAAAACAAAGTACATGGGTAATGAGGCATTATGAACTATTCCATGAGTAGAAGAAACCCCATACAGTACTTTAATTATTTATTTATTTCACTTTCTAATACGATCATCTGCATAAACAGGACTATGGGAAAATAAGGCTGTCAGGAACATATTCTCATCAGAGTTAAGAACATCTCAACGTTATTTCTAACCGTAAGACTTTGCTTCTTAGGAACAGCATTTGGGGAAAATAAGTCCAACAACACTACCATATACCCCTTCAATATAAAGTACATCTTAGTTTGAAAAAAATAACTCTCACTTCAAAATCTGACCAGTATTATACTTAGGGGGTATTTGTTTTTCCAAAACACACTCAACCACAATCCTATGAATAAACACCAATTCTTCAAAGTGGTCCTTCTTGATGACATTTAGTAGAGTTATTCCTTTGTAAACAATACAATTTGGGTAGCAAACAAACATTCTGTATTTCACAACGGAGTTTGGAAGCTTGTTCCAATCCTGCTTTGTGGTTACTTACTTTATTAAGAGGTTCATATTATTGCCACTGAACTGCAAATCATTAGTTTTTATTTTAATTTACCACATAACTAATATTTCAACCAGAGAAAATGCTTCTCTCAACATGTTGGCATTATGGTATAGCTTAGATCTGCCTGATCAGAGAAAAACAGCTACAATAGCTCTCTTCTGAAAACTGCTTTTATATATCTATATATATGTGTGTGTTAAATGAAATCCATCCTGAAAGTTATATTAGATGCTCAATTTTAGTCATTAATAATAATTACTAGGGTTGTCTTTCTTTCTGCCATCTATCATTTCAAAAGTTTCTGCTCAGTTGGGATACTGTTCAAAAGCAAACTGGGGGGAAAGCATTAAAATGTGCTCCATATTTCTTGATTTAAAATATCACCCAAGGCACATAGACTTTCCACTATGTTTAACTCTTCCAAACTGCTTTGAATGTCCTGTTAATTTTTCAGTGGCCTTTTCAAATACAAACCATTTGTATTTAAAAGCTAAATTTGTTATTTCCTCTAAAAAAAAACACAAAATGAAGCATTACTATAGGGTAATAGCATAAAAGAATATTGTGTAATAAAAGAGCAGCTGGTTTTTAAGATAAGATTACTGCTTCATAATATCACTATACAGTTTACATAAAACCCTATAATTCCTACTGGAAGAATATTTTAGAAGGCAGAAAAGTGGGGGGGGGGGAGCAAGCCCAGAGTATTTCCAGTCAAATAAATACATTGCAGACTTACCATACACTTGTTTGGTTTTTCTCCTGAATGAACTCTCATATGGATTAGCAACTTGTAACGAGCATTGAAAGGTTTATACCGACGAACACAGCCTGTCCAGAAGCAAGTGAAGTCTTCTCCTTTCCTTTGATCAATATGAGTCTTTTCTATGTGCCGAACCAATTCATCTTGCTGATCATACACAGCACTACAATCAATCCATCGACAGATCTGCTTACCCCTGCTGGCCTCCTGCTCATCACCTTCACTCATCTGAAGAGACTTTGGAGACATAGAGGCCTGTAAATGCGTTAGTGCCCCTTGAATGTGGTTTTGCTGGTCATGTAAATGATAAGGTGGTGGCAGCTCTTGGTGATGCTGAAAAAGACTGGAGGCAGAAGTATATTCATCAAGTGGTTCTTGTTTTAAGAAATTCAACTTCTGTTTGCTGTGTAAAATATCTGGCTGAGGAGCAGAAGCAGTATTCATTATAAAGCAGAAGCTTGCATTTTCTCCTGTGTGCTGCATTGGGGAATGGTCACAGTCCCCTCGGATAGTTTCAGTGGAAACAGGGACAAGGCATACTGAAGGGGAAGGAATGTGGCAGTGGTTCCCAGATTGCGAGCAGGACTGGGGGTGAGAGGGTTTCTGAGCACTATGAAGAGTGATCTCTCTAGGAGAAGAGGAAACACCAGCTGAATTAGTCCACAGTCCATTCACACAGGTAACCAGCGAGGTCTGGGATGTGCGGATGATAGTTGTAATATCAATCCCATCAGCAGAAGATGGCAGCACAGAGATGCATCTCTTCTTCAGGTTACTTGCCTGTTGTCGACTTGAATGGTGAGGGCTGTTGAGTGACAAGGAGCCCAGGGAGGGGCTATGTTCATTATTAAACAATTGCGATGAAAGTGAATTGGTAAGGCTATTGTGGTCAACTTCAAGATGAAGGCCGCCTGAGCCTTTCAGTTCCATTCCGTCAGTAATCCTTCTGTGTGCAGAAATCTCAGATACGCCCTTATAATCACCCAAGCACTCCTGTTTTATATGCTGAGTAGTGTGACTTCCATTCATGCACGGAGTGGTAGAATCTGCCGACTCTTGGAATTGGAGAGGCCTGCAACACAGTTTCATGGATCATCACTAGCATGTTGAGAATTTAGCATTTCCGTGCAAGGTGCAACATCAATTAAACTTTTAAGAACGGATTGGGCTGAATTCTTGTGTATGCTTTCCCTCTATTGCACTATCTGCATTTGAACGTTTTTGAATGCTTCCTCACTAGCAATAAAAAAGAGTACTATCTCTGGGAAGGTATGAGAAAACTGCACTCATACTAACTAAAGTACCACTACAACAGTTTGCAAAATGCATATATTTAAAGCAAGCTGTAGATTCAACAGATAATATAGACAAAATATAGAGTATTAGTCATTTTCAGAGCTTTCCAATAGTACAATTTAGTTCAGATCAAGCAGAAACAATGTTTCGTTTATTTTAGGACTCTGGTATCACATTATATGATTAACCAATTTTATTAGCCATTTAATAAAGCTGTAAAATTATTGTTGCTCACATCATCAGATTATGAAGTGGCTAAACCGGTGTTAATATTGAAACTGAAATGGGGGCAAGAAGACAAAACAGTTATGAAGACGCAGGTTGGATATGGAACAGATTAAAAGTACTGTATCTCATCAATTAATACATGTAATAGGTTAAAAACTTAGTGCTTGTTGAGACCTTCTGAAATTTTCTTTATTTACTACTATAAAAAGCATTTTTTTAATTTTCCCCAATCAGTGACTTGTAGCCAATTTCATGAAAGACTAGCATTAAGATAATTTATTTAATAAGCTTGCATGCAGTACAAATACAATTCAGAAGTAGGTGGCAGTATTCTTAACTACACGTTTTGATTTGAAGATACATCTATTCATAAGTTCTGTCTGTCTGTCTGTTCCTCCCTCCCTCTCCTGCCCCCCCCCCGTCTCTCTTCTCTCTCTCTCTATTTGGAAGAGTTTCCAATCTGAAGCAGCTTCTTTAAAAAGATAAATATTCCCTCACTTACATTTCCTCCCTTCTGAACACTGCTTTATACTATCTTCAGGAAGAACAAATATGTAATTTGTCCTTACGTTACAGGCCAAAACTGGGTAGACTCACTCACAAATCTACCCATTCTGGTCCTAGACACTGTTCAAATAAGTAAGAAACTGCCAAAGTCTTAGATGAAAACACATCAGACAGCCCTAAATTTTTACTGACAGACAACTGGCTAAAGTTGTTAATTTACCACTGTGAGGTAGCCTCTGCAAAAGGACATGGTTCCACCAGTAGGAAGAAGATCAATCCTCCATTCTTACAGATTAATGGTTTCAGCTGTTTGGGGCATGGGATTTGCTACCACATCATAGTATAAAAAGCATGGTGACTTTGAAAAAAATTGTAATAACATCGAGTTGTGCAACGTTACATCTGGGTAACAAAAATGAAAGGCATATGTATAGAATAATCATAGACCCTGGCATAGAAATATTACATGTGAAAAGGATCTGGGTGTCCTTTTCAACCACAAGTTAAATATGAACCAGCAGTATGATGCAGCTGCTAAAAAAGCAAATGCTACTGCAGAAGCACACAGTCCAGTTTATGAGATGTCATTGTGGTTCTATTCTGCCCTAGTCATATCCTACCTGGAATGCCCTTATCCAATCTTAGGTATCACAACTGAAAAATAAGAAACAAACTGGAACAAATCCAGGTAGTCAACTACCTAGAAATCTAGTCCTGTGATGAATCTGGATATTTTTCCTAGGGAAGACCTAGGGAAGATATGATAGCGGCCTTCAAAGATCTTAAGAGCTGTCATAAGGAAGAGGAAGTAGACTTTCTCTTTATTGCTCAGAGATTCAAGTTCAGAACTAATAAGTCAAAATTGCAAGGAAACAGGTTTATGCTACACATCTAGAAAGCTGTCCTATGAAGAAATGTCATTTAATAGAAAAAATATATATCAAATAAAGTGGTGGGTTTTCCTTTCCTAGAGGTCTTCAAATGGGGTCTAGATGGTCATCTCTCAGAGATGTTCCAGTGGATTCTACATTAATTAAATTGTAGACTGGTTAAGATCATGGATGTGAAACTCGCCATATCACGTTGCCGTCACGCGACATGTTTTCCCTTTAAGGAGCTGGGGTCGGCATGGCTACGCATATCCGGCTGCCAGTTTCACACCCCTGGTTTAGATCAATGTTTTTCAAATTTCATGACATTAAGATGTGTAAGATGGGATTTCAACTCTTGCTGGCTAGGGTATTCTGGGAATTGAAGTCCACATATTTTAAGCTGCCAAGTTTGAAAAACACTTGTTTGGATAGCCCCTCAAGACCTCACCTAACCATATGATTATGATACAAACCCTGACACCTTTTGTGAGAGGTTATGGGGAGGCAGAGAAAAGTAGGAAAGCACAATAGACATAAAGAAATAAGTGTTAAAGGTGAGTTTACTGACAATTTATCTCAAAAACAGTAACTCAAGTCAAGTTAAGATGACCCAAACCTCGACAGAAGTCTTTCAAAGAGACTATCTGAATAAGGATGGAAAATTTCAAGATTCCATGTTTCCAAGATTTTGTAAGATAGCTCCCCCCTCCCCAGTTCCCCATGCTGTCATCAAAGATACCTTATTGAAATGTGTATTATTCTTATTGCCTTGATCTTTCCAGCTTCATGGAACCTGACATCGGTACTAGTGAACCTTTCCTAAAAGTCTTATGATTCTCATTAGAGCAACAATAAAGCAAACAATTGTTAAATTTGAGAATATAAATTTCCTAGATTAGTCAAGACTTCTGGGCATCATGTTTTGCAACATGCAGATAGTCCTTGATTTACAACCACAACAGAGTCCAAAATGTCCATTGCTAAGCAAGACAGTTAAGGAAGTTTTGCGACATTTTACCACCTTTCCTGCCACAGTTGTTAAGCAAATCACTGCAGTTGTAAACGGTAAAGCTGGCCCCCAGACTGACTTTGCTTATTAGGTCACAAATGATGTTCACATGACTAGGGACACTGCAACTGTGATAAATACACTATAGTTTTTAAAAATCCAAATTATGATCATGTAACCATGGGATGCTGCAATGGTCATAAATGTAAAAAATGATCATGTCACTTTTTCCACTGCTGTTATAATTTTAAACAGTCACTAAACAAATGTTTGTAAGTTGAGTACTTCCTGTACTAAAGCAGAAGTACACTTTTGAATTCTATTAGATGAATGTATAGAAAAAGAGAATAAACAGCTACTGTATATGTGGAATATTATTCTTAAATTAAGAAGGAATGAGAAAAGGAAAAGGATTTGAGCACATTAGGAAAAATAGATGATTTTGTTGATAACATCCATTTTTTTCTAGCTACAATATACACCGAATATTTTTTTTAGGTTTTGCCTTGTTCTTCTAGAGTTCAAAGATAAATAATAGAAATTATCTGGAATGGTCAGAAGAAATTTCCAGGAATGATCAAACAAGCACAGCAAAATATCATGTATTCAAATTATTTCATTTCTTCTTCTATATTGAAAATCTTAAATTTTGAATGAGCTATAAATTTAAGGGATGCTGACAATAGCCGCAACCATATATGTTTGTTTTTAACCTCTGATAGGACATTTTCTTTAATTTATTTGTAAGTAATTATACACTATTTTTTTAAAGTATCCACCTCTCCACCAAAATAGCTGGTAACAGGTATTAACAAAACTCCATTATTTTTTTAATTTGTAATGGCTTTTGGCTTGAAGATAAATATAGCCAATCAAAAACTCTGCTAGCATTCTTTATTAACAAGCACTAGTGAATTGTATGCTCTGAAATTTCAAGCAAAAAAAAAAGACAGAAAAATATGTCCTGAAATTGTTGGCAAAGCTACCTAAGGCAGAGCGTTCTACTCTACTAAATATTAAAAAAGCATGTTTAAAACAGAGATATGGTAGGTGGGAAAAGATGTTGATCCCTATATGACATCATTATAAATATGGTCCTTATTTTTAGGATACTCACTCACTTTTAGATAGATTTCAAATCCTAGGAAATAGACTAAAGAAAACAGCTTAAGGGTTGTGTTTAACATAAGGCAATGTAGAAGCTGACAGAAAATGTCAACATCTTCCTCTCCTTCATCTATTCTAGAGACATTTACTACAGCTGTGCAGTGCTTAAGATTCCAAGGCAAGAAGATATTTTGGAGTGTCCCAGAGCCATCTGCAGCTCCTTAAAGCAGCTACAGCTTTTTCCAGGGTCATGGAGATGCCGTCTGCAGTCTCTTTTGGCCTTTGAATCCAAAGCAGTGTGCGGGCCTAACATTTGCCATTTAAGTGTCATTTGGCAAAAATAAATTTTAAGCCCTGAATCAGCTACCATCAGATAAAGTTTCAAGGTATTTTACACAATCGAAGTGCACTTACATTTTTCTTTCTTAACTTTGTTGCAGATTTGGTTTCATCTTAGCATGCAGCATAAGAATATTTTACAACACATATGCAGTGTTGGATTTCATAGGGTAGGAAGTGTCAGGCAGGCTGACAGAAATAATGGGACAAACTGACAGATGAAATGATTGTACCAAACGGAAGTAACAAGTACAATGTAAAGAGGATGGATTCATTTGTCTCCATTTACTATGAGTTGTAGGGCGATAGTGCACAAGTTGGTCCCTAAAGAAACCAGCACTAAAATTGTGTTTACAATATTAATGAAAAGCACTGCTGGTACTGATGTTATATAATCCTAGTAATATATTGCTGCTGTGAGATAATCTATAGAGAATTTTTACACTTAAAATTTTGATTAATCAATCAAGGGAAAGCCTAAACAGAAAAATTATATCAAACTAGTGTTAAACACAAAGATATTAATGTGTTCCTTGGATCCATATTAGAAAAAAGTGGTTGTTTCAGCACTAGACAGTGTTTATTAGATGTTTTGCCAAGCCACAACCATATTACCAGCATTATCTAGGAATGCCGGGTGCAGTCATGTTTGCAGAAGCTTTCTAAAACTCTAAACACAAGTGATGAAATTAGGCTGAGACTATCAATTACAAG